GTGACACTTCCAGAAAATTCTTTTTGGTATTTGTGATAGTGGTTTCATCCACATGTAACCCTCAGTCCACTTCATAAGAATCAACACACGATCTGCTCACAGAGATATAAGACCGTCTCCAACTGAGGCCATGACAATATGCAGCGATCATGCAGATTGCTACAGATTGTATCTTCACATGTACGCGTTTTTCAATTGTTTTTATAAACAGCCAAGTCAAGTTTGTTCCAAGAGCAGCATCGTGGTTGGCTTGTTTATTTTTTGTTATCAGTTGCTGTGATATTTAGATAACCGGTTTTCTAAATGGAACGATACACATTGGACACTATGCTCGGAAAAAGTGTTCTATGAGAAAACGAAAATCAGGTATTTTTGTAAAGTGGCAATTGAAACGCAAGAGAAAGACCGTGGCCAACGACACAAAATACAGGCAATTGAAGTTCAGCCCAAGGGCCGAGAACTTGAAGACTTCTAATCTCTTTTGTATTTGAGTTGAGCCTCCTCAACCCCAACCCCAACCCAGTCTTAAGATTGGTATTTGTGGTTGTGTTTAGCAATTTTACTGGGAGGGGGAAATACTTGATCGTACACAGTTGGTGCTCTTGGGCGCGTGCTGACTATCCAAACAAGAGTGATGGCCTGATGGAAGCAAAATTATTACAAAGCCCGAATGGTCGCCCATGAGTCAATTAAGCAAGGATTTTGACGTCATGATGTATTTTCGAGAATTTTCCGTCTTCATGAGAACCGAGTCCAACTTTACAGACCACGATTCAATTGATTCAGTCTGATTATCTCCATTCGTTTTCTCCACCATCTGATTGAGTCTCTTGAGAATTATTTTCAGAGTTAGAACGCTGCCGCTTTTCTTCTGCTGCCTCCATAGAGTTGATTCTTGTAAGTTTCTGAGTATCTTTCCATTTCCAGCAGCATAAGTACAGGGACTACCGGGGGTCAGTGATGATCACTCTCTGGATATGGTTTTTCCACATCAAGAATATGAGTAGTGATGCAGAGGCGTCTCCAGGTTGTGCTCCGCCCATGCTCTTTCTGACAGGTACAGTATCAGCTGAACTGAAGGTCCTGTCGATCAAGTCATCAAGGTCGCCGTGTCCTGGGATGATAGGCAGTTATCGGAAGCAGTCTTTGTACGTTGATTGACATTTAGTCCCCTCGTGTTACATCTGCTTCGATCAGTCATCACATGGAAAATTCCGAATCAAGGAAAAGCAGCGATCACAGGCAGCTGATGGTCAAAGTCATGGTGCTGAAGCAGTCGAGGGGTGGCGGCGGGTCGCAGAGCTTGGTGGTAGTGGTCGATGCGACGAGGGAACTGTCTCTGAGTGCTTTGCAACGGGCAATCACCAACGCTGTGTGCCGGAGATGGTATCCTGACAATTGGTATTCCATCAGGTTCATGATCCCAGTGCATAACCTTTCAAGATGGCTAATCACGCGGGCATGTAACAACTCCTCGAGGATATAACATTCTCCATCATTTGTTTGCACACTAATCCATGTCTTCGAATCAGATGCATCGGGGTTGGCTTCCCGGCTGCAGATGTGGCAGTATGGAGACGATGCTGGTTATGATGGCCTTTCGGTGCTAGTTCTCAGATTGTTCTTTGCTGCAAAGTTTGTCATCTGACAGACTCTTTGGATAAAATTGTATTATTATTGGTGTCATTTCTAATCTGATTGTGTGTATCAGACTTTGCAGAGTGAGATGTTTCAGTGATGTTGGTTGGCTGGTGACATATCTCCTTGTTCTCGGACCTTTCTTTTGTTTTCACGTTCGGCAGTTTCCAGTACTTAGTTTGTTATCATCATCAATTGCAAGCATAATTGTTTTTCTAGAGAACTTGAAATATGACGTCTGAAAGTTAACAACTTGGAGCTTTGGAACTTTGAACAGACGTAGTTATCGTAATGTTGACTAGACTAATGTTGACTTCTGTGCACACTCCCAGAGACCACTCTACATGTACACTGTTAGCTTTGCTTACGCTTTGGATCAAGATTCACTAGTATTCCGTTATGCTTTCTCTCAAAATTTTTAAACAATTCATTGCAGTGTTAAGTGAAAACAGGAGGATGTTTTTTAAATGTACCATACTCGGATTTTAATGTATTTGGTACCTTTCGATGCATACGTTGAAGTTTATCAAGGAATAACGCAATCCGGAGCCTATATAGATATTGGAAGTACTTCAATCTTCTGATTTCTTACCTAACCTTTAAGATGTTCGACAATGGACAAGACTGAGCCACTGACGGGTGCCATACAATATAGATTTTAGCCTGTAAGTATGGGTACAAAATCATACAACTCCGTAAGACTTTTTTTAGTTTTATTATTTGGAAACGTCTCTAACTAACACCATCACTTGAACTGAACTGCCACACTCTGGACCGTGTGTTTCACGTTGCATAGTGCATAGCGGATCAGGACATGAGAGATGGATGCAATACAATTGGTGATTGGGACGAGCTGAAGAGTGACTAGCCCTTGCGAGCTTGAATCACTGGAATAAACAGTTTTACCGACCCAGGTTCCACTTCAGATTGTGTTGTGCCGGCAACGGTCAGGAAGAAAGAAGGAAGATGCTGCTGGGCTGCGTGGGGAGAGAACAGCAATCGCGGGGAGAGATCAGTAAAACCATTTTGATCTCAAAAGAGTTCAAATTTTAGAGCTATATTCGCATCAAATGATTGGATTGTCGCTGAGCCCGCTTGAGATGCCGAGGTTGCTAAGGTGAAAGTGAACTGCCTTTTTGTTCATATTCTCCACAGCCACAATTATCGCCGCAATTATCTTTTCTGTCGTATTTGGTCGGATGAATCTATTAAACCTAGAATTTGGTCCCAAGACGAATAATGACAAATTTTCCTAGAATTATCTCCACCTTTTGTCGATTCTCTAATTGCTGATCAGGCAGCCTAAGTTAATGTGGAGAAAAGCGATACTTTGACTTTGTCCTACTACGCATATCTCACAAACTTAAGACTTGTTCAAAACCTTAGCACTTCCCAGCTTTGACTCGACAGTGATGAAAATCTGTGGAAGTAGTGGAGGCCTACAATCGTCTCCGCGCAGGTGGTATATATTTACGGTTGAAGTCTTACGACTCTTGATTTCGAGATGATGTCTCCAACGTCTGGATGAAGTCATAATGGGGACGGGGAATAACGTCAAAATTGGCCAACTCACAGAAGTGAGCGTTGTCGTGCGTTATAATGTGCCTATTTTGATTATATATTTGCAATCTCAAAGGTTATCACAACACCGACACTATTAACCTGAGGAGGAAAAGTTTTTCACCGATTTTGTTAAAGTCAACGAATTTAACGACATCATGATATTGTTGTTAGACATCTACAACTTGCAGATGGTTTATATATGACCTTGAAAGAGAAGACGACCTACAAATCTATGGTGCTTAAAATTAGTGGCCTGCAGTTTCAGCATTCATCTGAAAGTACACGTCTTAACATGAAGCATCAAGTTGCAGGTAAAGCTCGAAGTGAAAATAGGTGCTGGTCCAAGTAGAAAGACAGTTGCGGCAAAATATGCGGTGGAACTTCAAGTTGCATGACTTATTCTTGACAGCCAAGTGCACATGAGCATTGCCACCTTCCAAGTATTACTGTAGTCCGACGGCGTTGCTAGAATGAATGTTTGTAGGAGAATCTGTCATGCCCCTGAAAGCAGTATAGTGCTTTAGTTAATAAAATGCAGTTGCTCATTTCACTTGTTTTAATGTCTTATTATGACAGGCCAATGAAGGAAGACAAAAATATCGTAATGGAAGACTTGTCTTGCAACCTTGTGCTTATGGAGAGTAGCGGAGGAGAGGTCATAGGCTTGAATCAAACTATGGGTGAAGCTGAAGAATTACAAGGAGAAGATCTTCCCGAAATCCCTTCTTGCGTAGTCAGTACTGATATTAGTGGACAGAATGGCTGGCAATATTTGTGGACGTAGAGGTACGAATTCACGAAGCTGCAGTGAGATTAAAGTTCTCAGAATACATCATTATATTCTTGAAATATAATCCTTGCCACGTGAAGCGAAGAACTAAGTCTTTGCTGTCCATGTTTCCCACTCTTATCAATGCTTTTTCATGGCATTTTTTTCTTCATTCGTTTGATTCTACAGCAATGAACGTTCCCAAGGGGACCCATTGTTTCCTGTACTATTTAACTTTCTCCAAAGACTGATACAATAATATCATCTCGGATACTTCCAAATCTTTTTCTACCGGTATCAATACTCCAGTAGAAGAGTCCCACATATGACTAAATATGAGCAAACGGGTGTTAATTGTGTTACTGTGAAAGAAATTTCACAAAAACCTTGGACCTTGTTGGAAGTAGATCCTGTAAAATTTTACACGATCTACACGTGTCCAACAAGTACTACCCCTCGGAATACACTTAACGTAAGAAACTTGGGGAAGAAACATTTGTTTCTGTATTCGTACCTGAGACTTTCCTTTATCTTTAAGAAATCTCAACCTTTATACCTGCACCAACCATTAACAAAGTAAGGTGAAACACTCTTTCCATTTTCAATGACTGTTATGGATGAACAGGATTATAAATTCTTAGATGAAAGATGCATCATGAATGTTAACGAACAAATCTGGACCTTCACTCGTCCTACAGCCAGTAAGGATCACCAGCAATGCTTTGGGTTGATAAATCTTAACATTGTCAGGTTCTTTGATCTTTATATAACATTTTCTAGATATTTTGGGACAATCGAATTGGCTATCACATGAGGTTGAAGATTTCTATTCATATCGAAAACAAGGTTGCAAACACTGCTCAAGTTTGAGTACATCGCATGGGCAATATAGATAACGATGTCTTAATCCAAAGAAAGCATGTTTTTGCTTCTTTCTAGTTGGCTGAAAGAACATTTCAAATTCTCTGTAAAGTAACCGAGTCAATCATGCAAATATGCAGCGAGAACTGTTTAGTACGAAAACTGTCATTTAATCTTCAAAACGTCATTGGCGTTTTGGCGTTTTGCTTTATTAAGACTGTGATAGAGTATTATTAAAACTGTGATAGAGTAAACTTTCCTCACCCAGTATTCCGGACCTACCAACTACTCATATGCTACGGAGAAGAGAAGATATTTTGACTTTACTTGCTTCGACAACTTCTGTTGTTGAAAGCAAACCGAAATTAAAATACACATGATTCTCTAATAATCTAGATTGTACACCCTTGTCATACTATAACTCGCCTCGAAATATTGAGCTAATATTTCGAGTCAATAAACTATTGAGGCATTTGTCCAACTACACATCGCGTCAAACTACAATATAAAACTAGAGTACACGAAGTGTGGACTTTAGTTCCATACCCATTGTTACTTCTCCTCACTCAGCTCCGGAGTGCATTGTGGTGCAAGCTTCAAACCGCCAATCACGAGCTGCTTCAAATGCTGCAAATACTGCAAGCCAACTCCAAGGGGAGAGACGAGGCATTGTGAGGCTGATCTATTTGGATCCAAATACCTGAAAAGAGGCCAGGCAGTAAACATCAGTGCACTATTACTCATTGAGAAAAGTAAAATGTCGGATTAGGAAAGGGTGTAAGAGTATCTACCTCTGATCATGGATCGATGCTGATAATGTGCCAGCCATATGGGCGAATCATAAAAGAAAAATAAATTCTCGACTCAGGCATCTATCTATCTGCATACCCAGCAACAAGCTTGTTGCTTTCTTAAATCAACTTAGAGCAGAGCAGTAAAGTCTCCTGGCTATCACAGTTCTGCACATCACACGATAAGGATTAGTCCAAAGAGATTAGCTCAAAAATCACAAAAAGCTTACGCAGAATGACACTTTAATCATAAAAAGCCCCATGACAACAAATTAATATTGAGATCGAGAGAGAGGAGAGACCATTACCGAATCGCACCTCTCCACTCGCCCCATGCAAAACATTCGCCGCCGACTAGCGTTCGCTGCTCAAGCACCCGCTCCGAGAAAAAAGCAATACACAATTACTTTCGCAGTGTCGTCCTCGATGTCAAAATGGAAGAAGGGAAGAGAGAAAATCCGCTCCGAGAAACATTATCTGAAGGCAATGCACGATCGCCGTCCCAGCCTTGTCCTCGATGCGAAAATGTAAGAAAGGAAACGAGTGCGTTGGAAATTTGTGGCTGCCCTGCGGTGCGTGCACGGTAACGAGGACCTAACGGCATTGGGTTTGGAGCTGTTACAGCGGGCTTGGAGCTGTTGGAGCTGTTGGGGAAACGTTACAGGATTTGGAATTCAAAATCCAGGAGAGCCGATGTGGAACGTACGATGTTAGCTCCCACAACATATATGGAGCCGTCCCTAACACTCCATCTTTCATGACAGCGTCCTTTCATTTACAAATGGTACAGAAGAAAACTCGTCATCGAAGGTGCTCAATCCCTCTTCCGCAGCAATCTGCGTTTCCTGGGGGCGGAGAATCCTCGGGCTCCTCCTCTGAGTTGAGTCGCGTGATATCTTCTTCTTCCTCGTCTTCTGCCTCACTATCTTGTTGGTTGTCTGGTGACTTGTCTTGCAACCTTGTGCTTATGGAGAGTAGCGGAGGAGAGGTCATACGCTTGAATCAAACTATGGGTGAAGCTGAAGAATCTCAAGGAGAAGGTCTTCCCGAAATCCCTTCTTGCGTAGTCAGTACTGATATTAGTGGAGAAAGGTCTTGAATGGAGTCCAGAATATGTTTCTGGCAAACGTATCCAGTATAAGACTTGCATGATCCTTGATGTGACATGGAATGTTCTACATCACCAACTCTTGAAATCTTATTCCAGGGCTTCTTCGTCTTTAAGCATTACAGACCAATATGCATTGTAAACAATTTGCTATTTGATCAAGAGTGACTTTGAACGCGTGGCTTGCACTACCAGAGACATGAGCAAGCCACTGATTTTTGGAAGTTATAAACACCTAGCTGAAGTATGTGTTTTTTTTCTTTGCGGCTTATTCTATTGCAGCGAGGAATTCGAATGCACTGGAATGGCTGGCTAGTAAAAATATAGCAGATGAAGCTGCCAGGGTATTGCGATGCGTCTGTTTAAAGATCGTGCATCCTACATCATGAAACGGGGAGATATAGCATTCTTCTAGCCCATATATGTACTGGGCTCTACAATCTTCTCAAATCCCTTCAATTCCGGATGAACTTCTGATCAAGTGTGGATTCCGGATATTGACAGTGGTAATTCTTCGTCCATATCACTTCTAGTTGAATATTACACGCTTGTCTTTAATACGGGTCATTTTATCAGTTCGGGTCATCTTCTATGGTAGCTTGGGAAGTGATACTTTGGTTTCAGCGGCCGTGGAGCAGTATTAAAATGTGTAGACAGTACTTTAAAGTAGGTGGGAGAATTCGGACTGGCCAGATGGCAGCCAAATGCGAGCACAGCAGTTGAAACGATTGTGATTAGTACTCACGGGTGAGTGGTTCGGCTTGAATTGAAAGTCGCAACATATTGAACTGATTGAGTATGTTTTCTACGGACCTTTCCATGCGCCGGTGACTGGATGTACTGAAGTACTAGACCAGTCTCAAGCTTCTAAGGTTTGGGAACTGATAGTGCATATTAAGTTCAGGTCAAACGAACTAAATTTACCTCAGGTACCATCTTCAGCGACCGCAAACACATCACCATTTATGCATCGTTTCGAGCATCAGGAGCTTTGCGAAGAAATCGTCGCATAATTTCCTCATCTGTTCCATTTTGAACCTTAGGTGTCACAAAAATCTAACAATGCCCTCGAAGTTCAAGCCATCGGTTAACGCTGTAAGCAGGTGTTCCGTATCCTGGAGGGAGGGTTCCCCAGCTCCAACAGCAGGAGTTTTGAGAAAATCGTTACTGATGCTTCCAGTCCTGCGAGTTCCAGCAGAGGGTTGAGCCGAATGGAATCACTAGACTCACGCCCTGTCGTTGCCAGATCTACTGAGCTCATAAGCTACTCGTTCTTCAATTGGAGCTACGAAGAAGAGCGAGAGCAGATCCTTGCTCACTGTGAACCATTGTTCATAGACTCACGTCCCATTAAAGGCAGCAGAGACGAAAAAATGGAAGATAGTCAAGATCCTCGCTTTTTCCAAACCTTTCTGACAGTGACATGTTGTAGACATGTCTGGGTACATACTTCCCTCCGGATTTTTGCTGTAGTGTCCTCTGAAGTAGCGAAGAATGGTATCTTCGCAAAACCACAATAATTATCTAGACGGAAGAACCGGGCTGGACTAGCAGCAATACACGAAGAACGGATGAGGATCGTTTCATTCAAAAGTGCACATCAGAAGCCCACTATAGCCCACTATTTCAATGTAAAATTGGTTTCAAAGCTGTGACACTTCCAGAAAATTCTTGTTGGCATCTTGTGGTAGCGGTTTAATGCATGAATGGATGAAGGACAATTTTGGCTTGGAATCTAATTGCTTGGCAGCACTGCTTATTGAAAATCTACTTAAATCATCAGACTTGTGGAATTATGCTAACCTCGAAGTTATTTCAATGGTCTAATTCTAGTTCTAGCTCATTCTAAAGCTTTTGATGTAACGACTGTTGCATGATTTGAGCGGCGAATAGGATAAAATTCAAATCATGTCTACACTTCCTGGCGGAATGAAGTAGATCGCAGGTGAAAGTGTTTGCGATTTGTTTGACGAAGAGATTAGTTCAAAAGCAGAATTTCTTTGGCGTAGTGGGAGCTCGGAAGGCATGTGACATCTGCTTTGTTCCTATGATTGACCAGACTGGATCGCATGGCCCTCAATGTCAAATCTAATCAACTGATCAAATGGTATCGGAGCTGAAGAACTAAAGAAAAAGTTCTTTAGTTACCCTAAACCATTAAGCCGAGATCCAATGCAAGTCATTGTTATATTAAATCAAAAGTTCAGACTTGATTGCAGTAAGTTGGGGAAAGAAATCATGGCCTTGACACTCAATGTTTCGAGTATATGGACCAACCCGCTGTTATTAGAAACTGGCATAAGAATAGGTTTTCAATTATTTACTTGTCAGAAAATCACTCACTACTTTGCAACTTTGATTGAGTTTCTTATGGAAAAAAAAGGTGACAAGATTGATCACTTACAAGAAAATTCACTTGTAATCACCCCGTAACTTTTGTGGACCAAGTTTTATTCGGGCGGAGGTCGAAAAACGAAATATCAATGAAATGTTTTCATAAAATTGTTTCAAATAAATATTCTTTAACTCTAACTAATTTATGTAGGCTCTACTTTTAATCTTCGGAATAGATTCAGGCAACCTCAGGGGTCGGCCAGGTTTAATATAACTTACGTTTATAATATAGCGAGTTTCTATGGAGTTGCTTTTATTCCTTGTAGTCTCTTGCTCATCGTAAGCTTCCCTTACATTGGCTTGGTACTCAGGCACTAAGTATTCTCTTTGCTCCATTTTATTAAAACAGTGTTCTCTGGGTCTGTGTAAAGTTTACCTGACTGACAATGCCCGGCCAGCGGTAAAATTTTGAATGAAATTACTAGTATATCAACTTTTCACTAATGTAATAAATAATTGCGGACTCCGGCTTAAAAAATCTACTAATCGAAAACCGAAAATACACATATGTTTTTTATTTGCCGAAGCTGTACCGATAACTTCAAATTTTGATTTTCAAGAATGTTTGTTCTTCGATTCCTATCTTGATTCAGTAAGGTCGGTCTTCAGATTGATCTTATTATGCCAAATTCTAAACGTTGTGAAGGCCAAGGTTGCTAAGGCAATAAGCTACAAATGCACAAACTTCTGAGCTTAGTGATTTCTCCTATGAAACGCTTAGAAGAATAGTCTGTATAGCAGGAATATGTACCCAACTAGATACAGAAATTGTAGCACGAGGTAACAGAGACAACACAAAGACATACCACAAGGGCGATGCATAAGTTTTCCTCATCACAAGTATTCACCAAGTCTAAGAGGCCTCACATATTATCTTAGTGAGAAGATCCAAAAATATTGTTTTTGGATTTTCAAATCTTTCCATTATAGAAAGAATTAACATTCCGAACACTAATATTTTAAAGAACAAATCATCAACACAAAAAAACATATTGAGCATACAACAGCAAAGATAGAGTCATGTCAATCAGAAGAAACATGATATCAAAGGAATAGAATCCGGGTGTGTACAATTAATGTATTGAGAACATGAAGTATTTGAGATTCTAATATTCAATTTTCAATAGTCAAGTTGAATGAAAACATGAAATTTTGAAATACTGCAATTTTTCGCAGTCCAAAAATGTATAAATAATGGATTTATCCATTTTTGATACATTTTTGGACCTCATATTTCAACTTTGAAATGATTTTATTGCCAGTTTTGTGCTTTATGTGTGTCAATTTTTTGATAATATTTCAAGCCTTAGATATTTGAAATTATCACAACGCCTCCTTTCGAATTTATTTTGTTCATTTATACATCTTTCAACGGAACAATTTGATCTAAAATTGAAACATTGGAATATTTCATAGTTTAAAATATTTTTTTGTTTAAATTTTTTTGTTTTCTATGACATATTTTTAATATGAATCCAAATATGATTTTAAAACTTACTTCAATCTTTATAATATAGTGATGATTGTATAAAAATTCAAATGCTTTTATTCATCAACGCTGTTTTTTGTTTTGAGCATATGTAAATTATTCAAAATTTTTGAAAGGGGAGATTATAACTTTGAGTGATAAAAAACTTCATTACATCAATATCATGCTCACTATGGTGCAAGAAAGTGAAGTAATTATTGATAGTGTATCTTCAGCACATCATTTAAGTTAAGGATAATATTTGCAAATTTCATTCTAAATTTGTATCTTTAAAAATGAAAGAATTGCATTCACAAAAAGTATAATTCAAATATATCAAAATATATTATGTAACGTATAGCTAAATTTTCAACACTTATGTATCATCAGCTTTAGTTGACTAGATGCACTTGTGCATGAAAAAAAAAATCAATTAGAGCTAATAATGTACATAGAGTTGTCTGCGCAAAGATCAAATCCAGGATCAATATAACTAATAAAATCTTGAATCATTTTGAACTAAAATGGAGCATTATGAACTGGAATATTTTTGAAAGTTAAAAATAATATTGTGATGCACAAGGATCTGCGGCATCTGATGTTTATTGTGAAAATGATGTACAACGTATATTTCCATATTATGCATTGAAGGTTTGGATTTTCTGAACCAGCTACTCCTGATCACAGTGGCTCTCAAAGTGTCAATCCAAAAACCTCAACTTAAAGTCTTTCCCTTAGGCGTTAGATTTTGTAATTATGTGTTGCAGACTGAAAGGATAGAACAAAAGACTACGTTGAGGGGATACCTCAAAGTAATACCAAAATATACCAGAAGTGAGTTGATTAATCACAAAAGACTCAGAATAACGCTCGAATGGTGTAACATACATGCATCTACATAAGTGATGAGATATCGCAGTGGCTTAAAACATGTGGTGACCAATGCGTATTTTATACAGGTTATTAGCATAATAACGTTTTAACGTTTTAAAAATTTAAAAATTTAGTTTTATTTAGTTTTTAAAAATTTAGTTGTTGAGCTTAATATTAATCCATGTCTTGGGTTTTCTTTGGACTAATTAAAATATAATCTACGACTTATAGTTAATGTAAGTCAATATGTACAATCACCTGGAAGACAGTAAGTCTTGAAGTGAAAATTTCACATTGAAGTTGATTCTCGTAAGTCTCTGAGTATCTTTCCATTTCCAGCAGCATGAGTACAGGAAGTACCGGGGGTTCAGTGATGATCACTCTCTGGATATGGTTTTTCCCAATCAAGAATATGAGTAGTGATGCAGAGGAGTCTCCAGGTTGTGCTCCGCCCATGCTATTTCTGACAGGTACAGAATCAGCTGAACTGAAGGTCCAGTCGATCAGGTCATCAAGGTCGCCGTCTCCTGGGATGATAGGCAGTTATCGGAAGTAGTCTTCGTACGTTGATTGACATTTAGTCCCCTCGTGTTACATCTGCTTCGATTAGTCATCAAATGGAAAATACCGAATCAAGGAAAAGCAGCGATCAGAGGCAGCTGATGGTCAAAGTCATGGTGCTGAAGCAGTCGAGGGGTGGCGGCGGGTCGCAGAGCTTGGTGGTAGTGGTCGATGCGACGAGGGAACTGTCTCTGAGTGCTTTGCAACGGGCAATTACCAACGCTGTGTGCCGGAGATGGGATCCCGACAATTGGTATTCCATCAGGTTCATGATCCCAGTGCATAACCTTTCAAGATGGCTAATCATGCGGGCATGTAACAACTCTGCGAGGATATAACATTCTCCATCATTTGCTTGCACACTAATCCATGTCTTCGAATCAGATGCATCGGGGTTGGCTTCCCGGCTGCAGATGTGGTAGTATGGAGACGATGCTGGTTATGATGGCCTTTCGGTGCTAGTTCTCAGATTGTACTTTGCTGCAAAGTTTGTCATCTGACAGACTCTTTCGATAAAATTGTATTATTATTGGTGTCATTTCTAATCTGAGTGTGTATATTGTGAGCCTAAACTCCCCACCCTTCAGCGTTTGTAGTCCAGGTGGGGGTTCGAGCTCCCATAATCTAACTTCTCTGATCTCAACCATGTGGTCAAAGTGTATTCAAGACAATGAGATCATAAACACTTGCTCTTTCACAGACAAATTATCCAGAACTGAAAATAATAACTTGCTGTCTGTTATCTCCACAAGAGCAGCAGACAAGCTCTTTGTTACATAAAGATCTAACCCAACTCTGGGTGACTTTCTCAATACCACAGCCGTTGTGGTCTATCCTAGCTCCGAGTTCCACTCTCAATTTCTACTTAGATTTCAGTGTCGATTTCTCAGCTTCCACCTTCAGACTCCACCAGATTCCTCTCTTAGATTCAACTCTCCCTTTTCAGTTTCAAATTCAGATCCCGACTGTCAGATTTCAATCTCAGATTTCGTTTCACTCACAGCTCCCATTCTCACGACTTCCACTCAGATCTCAGCTCCCACTCACAGATTACACTTCAATCTCGGATCCCACTCACAGGTTACACTTCAATCTCGGCTCCCACTCACAGGTTACACTTCAATCTCAGCTCCCACTCACAGATTACACTTCAATCTCAGCTCCCACTCACAGGTTACACTTCAATCTCGGATCCCACTCACAGGTTACACTTCAATCTCAGATCCCACTCACGGATTTTACAATTCAATCTCAGATACCACTCACAGATCTTTCACTCGGATTTCAGCTCCCACTCACAGATTACACTTCAATCTCAGATCCCATTCTCAGGTC